TTCTGCCTCAGGTATTCATGTTATAGAAGCTAACATCTGTACTACATCTTCATGGGTATTAGATACCGGAAGTGCCTCACACATTTGTGGAAATGTGCAGGGACTAAGAAGAAGTAGGATGCTAACTAAGGGAGAAGCGGATCTACGCGTCGGAAATGGAGCAAGAGTTGCTGCATTGTGTGTTGGCGTTTACGATTTGCATCTTCCTTCTGGACTTGTTTTAGAGCTTAGTAATTGTTACTATGTTTCTGCGATTAGCAGAAACATTATTTCTATTTCATGTCTGGATTTGGATGGTTTTCGATTTGTGATTGAGAACTCGAGTTTGATGATTTATCGAGACGATATTTACTATGGTAATGGTTATCTAGTTAATGGTTTATACGTCTTGAATGATCAGCCTTCAAACTCAACATCATCCATCTATAGCGTGAGTACTAAACGGTTTAAGCCGAACGACTTAAACCCAACCTTCCTCTGGCATTGTCGTCTAAGCCATATAAACGAGAACTGGATTCTTTTGACTTTGAGTCTCTTGAATCTTGCGATTCTTGTTTGATGGGCAAGATGACAAAGCATCCTTTCAAGGGGAAAGGACAGAGAGCGACAGAGTTATTGGATCTGATACATAGTGATGTATGCGGACCAATGAGCTGTCCGGCTAGAGGAGGTTATCTGTATTTCGTTACGTTCACTGAAGATTTCAGTCGAAACGGTTATGTCTATTTGATGAGTCATAAGTTTGAAACACTTGAAATGTTCAAGGCTTTCAAAAACGAAGTGCAGAACCAGCTTAGCAAGATGATCAAGACACTTCGATCCGATCGTGGTGGCGAGTATATGAGCCAAGAGTTCACTGACTATCTGGTTGATTGTGGTATTGTATCACAATTAACTCCTCCTGGAACGCCACAATGGAACGGCGTGTCTGAATGGAGGAACCGAACACTTTTAGACATGGTTCGGTCAATGATGAGTCAGACAGATCTTTCGAAGTCTTTTTGGGGCTATGCTTTAGAGACCGCTGCGTACCTGCTGAACAGGAGTCCAACGAAGTCGGCTGAAACGACACCATATGAGATATGGACGGGGAAGCATCCTGCGTTGTCGTTTGTCAGAATTTGGGGTTGCGACGCTTATGTGAAGCGTCAGAT